AAAAAAAAAAAAAAAGCCTTTTAGGCCTTTTATGTAACACACATCTTCTCAATGCCAATTGCAAGATCTTCATCTCCAAGCTTGTAACTCATATCAAATAGAGTCAATACATTTGTTTTTGTGAAGTTGACAAGAAAGCAGAGTCCTCTCTCACCTGCTTATGACTGGAAGCTACATCCACAGGAAGGAAGGCTGGTCTGGACTTTTGCCTGCTGTCCACAATCGCTATTTTCTTCTTCTTAGCAGCCACTGGTTTATTTAACTGCCACTGTTTGAGAAGGCTTGAAAACAAAACCAGAGATACCACTGTAGTCACACCACAGAGTTAATGATGAGACATCCGCATTTTGACTACGGCTGTGGAGGACCCCTCTAGAAAAATAACCTTGTTACTACTGCAGTTATTTCCAGCTACTTATTAACAAAATAAGGCTAAGCCAGGAGTGTTCCTGAGCAGCACCTGTCCCCTAGTTCTAACATTTTTATTGGTCTGTTTTGTTTTGTTTTAGTGTGGTGGGGATTGGGTAGGAAGGAAGAGGAAGGTAAAAAAAAAAAAAAAAAAAGTATCTCGACAATAGAACATCTAGTCCAAAACCAGCACACAGTACAATCAGTTTTGCCTCAATTTAACCAGTCCATTTTTTGTGCCTATTCTATAACTATTTATGTATGAATACACACACAATCACACATGTATGGTATTAAATTTTAATACAGACTAGCAAATCTGAACAGAAGTTAGATATTGCACAGTGGGACCAAAATAAATGATGGCTGCATCTTCCAATTAAGGAACAATTTTGGCTGCAGGTTTGCGGCTCTGCAAAAGGCACATATCCCAGAGCAGCTGCAGCCTCCTTGGAGATGTCCCCAGACAAGATGGACAGAAGAACTGGCAGACGAGCCACAACGGCAGTCAATGGGTCTCTGTCCTACTCTCTCTGCAATGTAGACCACCCCGTGAGGGCAAGGCAGACCCTAAGGACATACTGCCTATTCCAAGCGTGACAAAAAGGCAGCTTTACAGACTGCTCTGCATTCCTCAAAGTTACGGCGTTTTAAGGTTATGGTTTCCAAATTACGAGCGGTTAAATAAAATCTTAACTTCCTTCCCTACTGTTGCAACATATCTGTTCACTTTCACAGCACACACCACAAAGCATCAAGTACATCTGGTCATGCATCAGGAAAGATCACCCCTTCGAAGTAACAGCAGGAAGATGCACATGGCCACTTACTTGTTTGCCATGTCTTTGAGTGATCTCCAGGACTCCTTCAGTTCATTTAGCTCTGCCTGGACATGGGCAGTCTCCTCTGGGGAAGAATTCTCCATGACTAGCTGGCCATGAGCTTCCACGAGGTGCAGCTGGATCTCCTTATCTGGAAACTCAGCTAGCAATCTCTGAAACGTACAGCCCTTACAGTTACTCCTAGGTATCCTGGGGAAAGCAGTCTATGTCAGACTGAAGGCCATGTTCAGTCCAGGACTATGCTGGTTCTGTTGACACTAGCTAGAAAATACCTATCGGGAAAAAAAATACGCTGTGGATTCTTGCAAAGGGCTGACACAGGTCAAACAGCTGATGGCAAAATTTTAAGGGAGAATCTGTCAGTGCATCCCTGCTGTAGCCTCCCTATGAGATACCTTGTTTTTCTCTATGAAAACAAAAGCTGCCAGTCAGTTACCTACCAGAGTGATTTAAGCATGCAAAATACTGCTACACAGGATAAAACAAGCAGCTATGGGAGAACTTAGTTCAATACAGCATAAGGTTACCTAACAAGGTTATGTTCAATGTATTGATTCATACGTAGACAGTCAAATGGGCATTGTCCAGAGAGACAATTCCCTGGCAGAAAGAACTCCTTTTAACACCACATCTCATTTGTTGTTACTTTAGCCCTTTCAACAGAATCTCACTGTTCTGTTCTTTTATCTAGCTCCACACCCCATGGCACAAGGCAAAGCAGCAGGGAGGCAGCTGCAGCCAACAGTTCTCTGAGGAGTAGCAAACCCTCATTGTTTCCCCAGGCAGGAGCTCCTTGCTGTGAGCCCCTTCCCCACCGTCTGAATGCTGCAAAGCCCATATTTAATGCCTTACACTGAGATGCTTTCCTCACCTCCAGGTCTGCCACCCTGCTCTCGATGCTCCGCTCCCCCTCGGCACGCTGGTAAGACTCCAGTTTCTCAGTGGTTACTGTGATCCACTGCTGGAGGTCGGAGAGTTTGTCATTAAATGCCCAGTGCTTCTGAATGTGCTCCTCACTCTGCTGTATCATCATCTACAAATAATAAAAATATGTCAGCAACTGAACACAGTCAGATAGTGGGACCAACAGTGTAGCTAATGGCACGGAATTTCATGAACATAAAGAAAAACAAACAAACAAAAAAACAAAAACAATGAATGAGACCCAAAAGCTTTAGCATCAATGGCATGGAAGACCTATCAACAGGCACCTGCAGGCCTAAATATAACCACATGGGGGGGTGTTAAGCTCTAAAATAACTCCCTTTCTTTTCAGTGGAAAAAAACATAAGGAATGAGATTCTTTTAGTATCTCAACTAATGTTAGCTACATTTTACACACTTTCAACTGGGATAGCTGTATAAAGCAGCAGTTTTCTTCTACACTTTTTACTGTTTCGCAAAAAGTCCAGTTCAGTAATAAATGGAATTACTGAAGCTGAAGCTAGAAATCCACAATGCATATTAGGCTAACACTTTATTATAGGTAATTTTATCCTGACCTACATAACTAGAGATCATTTGAGAGGCTCTTCCAAGATTGTTGTGAAAGGAAGTTTTATAGTTATGTTTACAAACTACAGAAAGCCTTGGGTCAAAATGAGTACTTATGCAATAGCAATATATGTATTTTTCTCATTAACTTTTAGGTTACCTAAAGCTAAGCAAGTTGATATAACTTTATACATCTGTACATATACACACACCAATAAACATTGGTTCAATGCTATAGTGCTATCCAGGAATCCATGGACAAGTCCAAGGATCTCCATGTTAATACAGCTCTAAAACCCATGGACAAGTCCAAGGATCTCCATGTTAATACAGCTCTAAGCTCTTCTGATCAAAAATCTCAGGCCTTCTCCACAAATAATTTATCTAGATTCAGAACCCGTGTGCAATCCCATTAGTGGGAAATCACATTACAAAGTACTATTACTAGCGGGAAATCACATTACAAATAACTCTTCCAGGACTCTCCAGTTACGGAGAATGTCTTCAGCTGAAATAAAAATATCAACTGCTCAAAACACATTTTTATATTGTAGTTTTTTTTTTTTAAGAAAAAAAACAGTGACAACTGCTAGCTTCACAGGCAACTAAAAACTCTTCCTTATGTTACCTCCAATGATCTCTTCAGAGCCTGAGAGTCAGATGACAGCTGGTTCATTTCATGCCTATGCGTGGTATTGGACTGAACAAGCTTCTCTACCTCTTCCATTTGAATTGCAAGCTCTGCCAAATCATCTTGGAGCATCTGCAGAGGAAAGGACAGATTGCACATGGGTGATATGCTAGATGTAACATGACCCTCCCTATTGGTACACAACTGCAAGCTTTAAATACAGTTAGCTTTATTTGACAGTGTGAAGGTTAATGGCAAACAAACAAAAACCCCAACTGTCATTAAGCAAATTCATTGTTTTAATGTCTAAATGAATATTTCCAAAAGAAATGGTTAGTCATTCTTACACGTTACCAGCTGATGACAAACAGACAAGGTACCAAGAAGCTGCCAGAGGAGAAAGGGTACTACACCGAAGTACTGCAAAAAGCTATGGTGACAGTACCCTGTGGTCACCCCAGTGCAGTGACACAATATAGCTGGATGTCCCCAATACATCATGGCCAAAAGGAAGAATCACATTCACCTTCTCTTCCTCTCCTGCTCTTCTCTCCCCTCTCCCAATAGCCTGTGCATGCTTTAAGCACCTCTATTGCATGCTGAAGTAATCCTAAACACTAACTAGGTAGAAAACAATCATCTCTTTTGTTGATTATTTTTTCCTATTTTGGACAGCTGAATTAGTTCTTGCAGTAAAAATCTGGTGAATGTCAAGCTTTAAACAAGGAAGAGTGAAGGAGCAAGGGATGTGAAGGAGGTGGGAGAGTGGGAACTCCTTATTTTGGAGGCACTGCACTTTTTGACTGGTTCACTTTATCTTGTGCAGTGTCATCCCCAGCAGGTACTATAAGAACATGTTTTTCTTTGGCAATTAAAAGTAGCTCAAGATATTGTGGCACCCATAGCTCTAAGCTACTACTTCTTTCCTTTGTACACCAGTTTGCCAGTCTTTCAGTTGCATTCCTTCCATTTCTTCTAGTCCATGTTATAAACTGGACCAAATGAAATTATCTGACACACAACTTAATGAGGGGATAAGGTGCTGAATTTCTAATGCTAATAAAACACAAATACTGCCTCAGATGAAATGATCTTGACTATGTGTACAAACATGATCATAGTTAACTTTGGACAGTGTGGACAGGCATTTACTAAATGTACCTGGAGCCTCTGCAGTTGTGTCTTTTTACCTAACAGGTCAGGCTGTGGTTCATTCTCTAGATCTACTTTGGCCTTGATTGCAGATAATTTCTTCTGCAAAGGTGCAAAACCAGCATCGAAGTCCTTATGTTGCAATATCAAATTCTGGAAAAGAGGAAAAATACCCACTATTGAACATTACGCCCTTCGCATGTTTTTTTTTTTCTGGTCAATGTTCATCTCATACAAAACTAAGCCACACTATGAATATTTGATTAATTAAAAAAAAAAGATATTGGGCACAGCTGGTTAGTACTAAATTTATTGTTGTAAAACTTAATGAAAGATTAATCACTGTCTTTGTCACAGACAAAACTGTAGATGGGCTACAGCTCACCTGCAGTTTGTGCTTGCTTTGCAGCAGACCTTTATGAAGAATTTCCCTCTCCTCTGATGCTTCAGCTACTTCCACGAGAAAAGACTTTGCTTTTTCCTCACCAAGGATATTGTTCAGCAAATCTTTCTTCAGCTGTAACATCATCAACTTTTCTTTAAATTGTGAGCTTTCAGACAGAGCAGCCTGAAGGAGAAAAATTCTTCCAGTGAAATCATAACTAAAATAAATTAATCACATAACCATGTTATCCTCATGACAAAGGGAAAAACACCCTGCTGGGCCACCAAAGGTAACAGGAGGTACCTGCATGGTGCCAGTTAAAGGACAAGTCTTTCTAGTAATGTCAGAAATGCCAGGCCTGCATCGATTTGGTGAACAGAAGAAAACTGCTCCAGAGAGAGTTTTCTGTGCATGGGAGAGCCCGGGAGAAATGACAGCAGGATGGCAGCTTGGACAGAAAGGACAGCTTGAATGCTCATCCCAAGGACAAACTCTGTCCCTATTCATGGGCATGTTTATTCCAGATATCAGAGAGATGATGAGGTAGCAAACACCTTTTAGGGCACATGCAGACACCATATATTTGAATCTGCAACCTGTATTACCACATGCTTATTAACAGAGTTCCCGCCCAGGGAGATTTGGGGTTAATACCTAAACAATATTATAGTCATTGGTAATGACATCTGGTATTTTAACTCAGTTTAAATCGACAACTCAAGCTCACCAAATGGAGGGGAGAAAATTAGATGTTCTATTACAGCTAGAGGGAAAGACTGACCTCTGTTCTGTAGGGTTTCCTCTTATACTGCAAATGCCTTTCCAGCTGCTACTCTCTGACAGCTGTGTGCAGGCAGTTGTTGGCAAGGCTTTGGCAAACACAAACCAAATACCAGCATTTGAGCTTAGTAGTAGATTTCTTACTTCAATCTGAGCCAGTGTCGGCTCTGGAGTATCCAGGAGCATCTTGACTGATGGCTTCCACTGTTCAAAATCTTGCAGGGGATTTTGAAAAAGCCTCCTCAGTTGACTTTCTGTATCAGCACTCATTTTAGATGTCTTCCCTCTAACCCTGATAGGATAAAGTGACAAGAGAGAGAGGAATTACGAAGAAATCTGAGTCCAAACTTCCTATTCATCAAGGCATGAATTAACAGAATCCTCGTGTGTAAACCATATCCTACACAAAAGGCCTCAGTCTTTTTTCCTCTCCGAGTCTGGCGTTGCCTCCTGACAGCTGCTCCGTCAGTCAGACATGTCTCACAAGAACTTATTTAGACGCTGTGAAACACATGGTTCTTGTGCCACTACATATCAGGAATCACTCTGCGCCCTAGTGCTCAGCTATCTTGCCTTGTACATGAGCACCAACATGATCTACCAACAATAATATTATGGGAGCAGTCTCACTGACCATTGGGAGAAACAAGCCAAAAGCATGCAACATTTAACTGCCGTTGTCTGAATCATTTTACAAACTACAGAGTATTAGCCCTGTAAAAATTAAATTAGAAACAAATTGTGACCTTCCAGAGTTACCTACAAAAAGGGGGGAAAATACATAATCATTTTTGTCCTCAGATCTAATTTTTTAAATATATATGCAGAATATATATATATGCAGAATCACATACACATATATGTGACATACATATATTTTTATCTCCCTACATAAATTTCTTTGTACACACACACACACACACATATATAAATCTATACACATTGCAGGCTAAAGGAAAAAAGCACACATTCATTCAATATTCCTTTTTTGCTTATACAGGTTAACCAAAATACAGCTGAGCAATAAGGTTCGGTCATGACACACCGCATGCTGCTGCCTCCTGTTTTTCTAAGCTTTCCTGACCTCCCAGCCTGCTGAATCCTATTAGAAACGGCAGCACTCAGCCCGAATTGTATATTCATTTGGGAATGGTATCCTGCAGATTCACAGCACAGGCAGACAAGAGCGATGCCACAGGCTTCCAAGGCAATTAACTCTGCCTTTCTATAAAAGCAGAAGTAATAATCTTACCTGTATCATTAGGATATAACTGAGCTAACCAAAGACAAGTTTGCAAAGGCCAAAAGCTCTGCAGATGGAAAGTTTTGATAGTAAAGGTCCTTTGTCATTTGCTCTGCTGCTTCTGCCAGGCTCTGCATGAAGCTGCCACACTTTGCAAAGAAGCTTCGGAGAGAAGCTGGCAAAGAGCAGCTGCCATTTTCTACTGAGAGGCGAGTTCTTGTGCCTTCTCTGCTTCTCTCAACATTGCTTGCATATTAATTTTTAAAGAGAACTTTTTTTTGTAATGACCTATAACCCCTCAGATTGGCAGCACAACTGGTGAGAGGAAAACAAGCTTGAATGCAGTAAAAACAAACAAACAACTGACCTTTCTTCTTCCTCAAAAAAAAGATCCTTTCTTCTAGTTTGCAAATTTTGCTGCAGCTCCTTTACTTCCTGATTCCAGGCAGCCTGGAAACGGAAGCACTGAAGTCTGGGAGAGGCTAAACTTTCAGCGTTTCCAGCCCAAGGCAAGTTGAAAACAGGAGTTAGGCATATATGCCGTCAGGAGAAGGGGGAATGAACTCTGCCAAATAATTGCTAAGGCAGATGAGTCATCACAACAAACTCAGAAAGGAAGGGCATAATTCTTCGGATCCCTTTACCACTGCAGCTCATATCCTGATTTTCTAGTTGCTATCATGAAAGGCAAGCAAAATATATAAATGAATATACTATGCTTAGAGGACTAAATTAGCTGCCAAAAAAGCCATTTTCTCCAAACCAGAAGCAGTATTAGTGATGCAAGAGCACTACTTGAAAACGGCCAGCAGCCTGCAGCCCTAAAAAAGGGGCTAAAATTGGCGTTTATCTGGTAAACACCCTTCTTGTCTAACTACGTCACCATGTCAGACAGCATTTCACACGTTTTTCCCAGGCCCTTGTCTGTGTCCCTTCAGCGTCCCCTACGTAATCAGCCTTCCCAATACCTTTGATACTCCTGCACGGCAGAGACGACCCTTTCAGCGTGAGGCTGCACGTCCTGCGGAAAGCGCAGCAGTTCCCGGAGCTGAGCTTTGAGCCGCTCGGCCTGAGGCTCTGCCGCTGCCAGAGACGCTCTCGTTGCCTGAAACATAGAAATAATGAGCAAATCACACCTTTGGTTGTGCCTTGCACATGAAACGGAGCGATAAGACTGTCTCTCAAGGTAGGCACATTGGGAGCCACAAATCCTCCTTCTGCTGCCTTTTTTTTTGTGGTTGTAGTGAATGTGGACTTTATTAGACAGACTACAGTCTCAGTAACAGTTCTGCGCCTGCTGCCTCTCTCTGTTGTCCTCATACCAGCCAGCCTCTGCATCTGATCTGCAGGTCCAGAGGAAATGACAAACAAGCCAAATTTCAGTTTTCTGGACCAAATGTGAGGTGCATGCTTGACATGGCTTAACTGCTTCTGTTTGCATGTACAGATCTTCCTCAAACACTCCTACACACAAGAGGTTAATTCTACAGCTATGTGGGGAAGAAAAAAGAACAAACGTAGCTGGATTGTACGACTTTGTATTTTGCAGATCCTGTTCACACATACTTTTCCCAACTCAGCCTGCTGAGTGCTAGCCACATGAATAGCAATGAAAGGTATTTTGAAAAATGATAATAAATCTCCAGAGGAAATGACTGTTAAAAATTCTTACCTACTTTATATCTGGAAAGAATTTTTTAATTTTTGTTTTTTGAACAGTTTTATTTTGGTTTAAATATTAGATTTTTACAAACTTCAGATTTCTTCTTAGATATGAGTATATATCTCCTGATATCCTCCTGGGAATACAGGTACCCACCTTGCACAAATGAAGCATATAATAGAGAAATGGCCTCAGCAAATATCCCAAGCTATAGACGTATATATACTCACATATATTTAGACATTATTTTCTCTACTTCTTTGTAAGTGGAGGGAATTGTGTTGTTTGCTCTGCATTGTGCCTTTGAAGTCAAGACACAAACTTCATTACTTCCTCCATATCATCCCTTATGCAGAGTAAGATAAAGATCAGAATAGTTAATACCACTGTTGCTATTCACAGTTTTCTTCAATTTCTTCCATACACCCTCCTACTCTTTCCTTATCACTTTTCAATAATGGGACAGGCATCTGCTGGATGAGATTAGGTACGTTCAGCCTACAAAGAGGAGGACTGCATTGATGCCTACCACTTTTAGGCCTACAAAGGGCAACAACTTACACTGCATTTTCTCCACAGAGCTATAAATTCATCTTCATTCTTCTGCCCTGACCCACGGTCCAAGTCGTTTTCTAGTCTCTGTAGATCTTTTCTGAATTCCTGGACATCTGCTTCTAATTGTCTGGCTTTGGACTCATAGGCACCCTCTGATTGTAGGATCTTGAGCAGCCTGTTCTCCTCCACATTACACAGCAGCTTCAACTTCTCCAAGGCTTTTCGCAGCTCTTCGAGTTCATCCTTCATTCGCTCAGCTCCCAGTGGGGAGGTGTTATGAATCACATCTGCACACTGATTTTCAAGATGTTTCCATTTCTTCCCACCACTCCTAATGTTTTTGGCAATTTCCTGCAGAAAGAGAAGGTTAAATATAAATAAGCTGCAGGGAGGGCAAATTTGGGAAAAAATAAAGGTGAAAAATGGGAAGAAAGTGTAAACATCTCTTCTGGCTGCATATACTTATTTCTTCAGTTCTCGGGTGAAAGTATGCATGATATATTGCTTTGCATTTAAGAGTCTTCTGAATAATGTTAACTGCTACAATACTGGCAAAAAGAAACTGCTGAAAACATTTGCTCCCTGAAAATACTGACTTGACTTTCAGAAATCCTTGTCACCTGAGGTCCACAATGAACATAAAGGAGTCGCAGGCAATAAGAGAAATTGATAATCAGACCTTTGAGAGATTTAAAACTAAGTAGTTCAAGTGATGGAACCAAAATGCTACAGATTGTTTTCAAAACAGGTCTTTCACTGCCGACTCTAAACTTTAGAGCCTGAAGGCTGGCAGGTTCTATTTAGATCACATTTACCAAATATAATTAATTTAAAATACTTTAAAGGTATGATTCTCAAAGACTAATGTAACTGAGGAAAATCAGGCTTTAAAAAAATCCTGACCAGTCTGTGACTTGTGATCTAATTGGGAGAATTGTACATACCAATGATTTTTCAGTATTCTGAAAGATACAGAGCATATACTGGTATAATCTCTGCTAGCCCATTTTACACCAAGTAACACCTTAATTCATAAACATAATTCTTTTCTAAGAGCATTTTTTTATGACTTAGGATGTATAAGAGACATGGAGGATACATAGGCCTGGCCCCTCAGCGGAAGTGTATCATATAAAGACCTTTAGTGCCTTTAGCTTGTCCTCTGCTGAAGCCTTGGTTCCTTCTCTAACGCAGCCGTTTAATCTTTCCGTCACACCGCTGAGCCACGACTGGAAGTGGCTGACGTTTGCGCGGTACCGCTCGTGTTCCTTGGTTATCTTCTCCAGCAGTTTCACTCTGCTCTGTAACGAGAGACGGCAGCAGCAGCAGTGAGGACAGTGCTTATCTGGCTCTCTTTGTGCTGCAGCCCAGAAAATTCGAACACGAGTCCCTTTCAGTGAGCCCCCGCAGCACGCGGCTCGGCAGCAAGGCACAGTTCGCCTCAAGTCAGAGGATACCAAAGTGCATAAAGGCTGTCCCATGTCCTGCCCATGCTGCACTGCCTCTGAGCAGGCAAACTGCAAGATCCTCTTGGGAGGATTTCTAGCCTGAAAAATCCAAAATCCATATTCCCTCATTGCAAAATTAAGACACAAAAGTCTGTTTCTGATTTTGGCTTCAAGGGGGCAAAAGGATGGGCGATTCAATAGATTTCCTTTGCCTACTTGTCAAAATGAGAAAGAGATACTCACGGGTGGGTGCATGCAAATTATTTCAAAGTATTCACTCTATGAACAGGCTATAAATAAAGCGACTTCAGATCTAGTCCAAAAGTATCCACCAAAACCATGCAAGCCAGCAGCTTGTGTACTTTTTTGATTTGCAGATCACAAATGATCCTCTGGTGGTAGTGCAACCCCTGGAAGTCAATTTAAGATTATGGGCAGCAGGCTTGGTTTTCTGAGTCACTCTGTGTATCCTATAGTAGAACTCTGGATTTACAGAGGCAAGCACACACCGAGTTGCTCACAGCTGATCCAGCCTGACAGCCCTAACAACAAGGTAGGGTCACATTTGCCCAAACTATCCCTGTTTCTCAGCTGAAGGTTAGTCCTTCGCTGCAGGAGATTCTACGTGACTCATGAAGAATCCTATCCCGTTGTCTCACTAATATAATATCCAACCTACATTTTATTTCCAGCAATGCACACTGATTTTTATCTTGCCCTTCCCCAGTTGTCATGGAGAAAAATTAAATTAAAGTATGGTTACACTAGAAGAAGAAATGTGTCTCTTGTGCAATCCCATGCAGCACTTGCAAAGGCTTTGCAACCCATTGGCATAATGGGCAGAACTGCCAGAGCTTCATTTTGCCTAATCTGGGATACATCCCGCGCCTCCTAGCACGGCCCGATCCCAGCTGCTCTCTGTAGAGAACAGGACGGCTGCAGCTGCAGGCAGAAGCTTGGGATTGTCCCCACAGCCCATGGTCTCCTCGAGCCTCTACGTGCCCCCATTAGCCTCTTGAGCTCACGGGGACATGCCCACGGAGCGGGACAAAGCCATCACTGCCCGGGTGCCACCACGTCTCTGTGCCAGTGCCTTCCCACTTGTATTCTTACCCCTGCCAGCACGTGCACATCACGAACGACTCCCTAAAGCAGCTGAGGTGCTCTGGGGCTGAGGAGGGGCACTTAAGGGACAGCTGGGCACAGTGCTGTGCCCCACAGTGCCTCCCCAGATCCGCACACCTGGGCAACAGATCCAAAGGCAGAGTTAGGGCAGCAACCTTCTGTGAGCAAGACGTGCCCAGAAGCCCTCGGCTGGCTGCTAGACACCCCTGCCTTGCTCTCAAGCCTGCGGGAGGTGCACAACAGTCAGACAACTCTAGCTCTGATCTGCTTACAGAGGGCAAGGAGATGACAGGAATGCAAAGAGATTTTGTTAGGTGTCAAGCAAAAGCCTAATCAGCTGCTGGCTGAACCCTCACCGAGAGGTTAGGCAGGAATTTTTTCTAATGATGCAAAAGATCATTTGCTGCTGGGTTTGCTCTTTGGGAATGGGACAGCACTGAACTTCTCCTGCCTACTCATGCACTTGGAAAACGTGAGACTTGCTCAGCAAGGATGTGGCCCTGGAAGAAATGAGAGTGCTGAGAGGAACTGAGCAGTCCCCAAGGGCCACAGAGGAAGAGATGCATCAGGACAGGATACACCCAGCCCTGGGCACTCACCAAGGGAGCACGAGGCACAGGAAATCCTTGCCCTGAGTTCTCCCTACAGGCAAGGATCTGAAATGTCAGACTAACCTGCAGGCCCTGCATCCCTTCCTGGTACTCCCGAGACATGGAGGGAAGGCTTACAAATATCGAAGTGTGAATCAACAGAGATAACACGGGAGTGAAATAACTGACTTGCTGGGCCTTCAATCTGAATACACTTGAATAAATATCAACATATTGTATATTGCAATTTCTCCTACGATGTTCAGTTCACTATTTATGCTAAAAAAAAAAAAAAAACCCCTCCATCTCTGCACATTGTTTTTTTATCAGTCATGGAAACGTGGGAGGTGGCTGCCACACCTAGAAACCCACCCCAGTCAATGCAATGAAAATAACACGTTATTTTAAAATCTGTCAATGACAAGGAAACATGATAGCTTTAAGGTGGGAAATATAAAACAGATCAAAACCTCAGAAGCTCACACAGGCCCCAGAAGCTCACACAGGCCCATACCACAGGAGTAAAGTCACCATTTAAGAAACACTGTCCAAGCGCTTGCCTTCTGATAGAGCGGGACAGCTGCACAGCCCCTGGGAACGCTCCTGCCACCGTGTGTGCCGGTGCCGCCGGCAGCACCTCCCCGCTGGCAGCTC